CTCTCTCTCTCTCTCTCTCTCTCTCTCTCTCTCTTTTTCCGTGTCCTCCCTCCATCACGGTTCTTTTCACAGAAAGAAAAAAAAAAAGGAATAAACGCGAAGAGCATAATCGACTACCAGCTAATACTAATGGTACGAGCCGTGGCCATTGAGGACCAGTCGATAAATACAACCCAACTGCGTAAATCCACTTTGTTCGGAATGGCACGTCGGGACGCGACGCTCTGACTTACGAGGTAGACGGCTGACTTACGATCCTTATTTAAAATCGCCAAGTTGCCGCGCGCACGCGCGTAGGCCACGGCAATAAAATCCTTTAGCGCGTTACTGGGGTGTGATCGGGGCCTGCGCGCGCAGCTACGCGCTTAATGGCGGCGATTTTTGCGCACTCGCGTATTATGCGTACATTTGTTGAATTATTTGTGAACGAGTTCGGTTGATTTATGGGAGTTGATTCACGAGTTGATCATTAGATTCTTCTCCAGTGACTGGTACACAATAGCTCTGGAAAGTATGTCTGTTGCTTGCTATCGTGCTAAGCTTATACGTACGTAAATAACTGGTGTTTACGAGTTTACACGATGTAGTGGAATGGAACAAGTCTCAATGATGTTGGTATTTTTGGAAAGTGGGTAATTCGAAAGAATTCTTAGCGTGTTATGTAGTATAGAGGAAATGAATATTGTTATTGTTTATATCGTTATTTTATGTAATATTTGGAAATAATATCCAATACTTGATGTTTTTAAATATTTTAGAATTTTAAATTTTAAATTCGTCAATTATCGATCATTCTTAAAAATAATTTTGAATCTAGTAACGAAACAAAGAAGCTATACTATATTACGTATGTCAAATGGAAACTGGAAAGCAAACAATAACAAATAAACAAATTTCTTCGTCGTCATCGATATAAAAATTTTAATTGATTAAAAACAATTTTTCAATTAGGACTACAACACCGTAGTCTATGATTTTCTTAATTGGTTTAATATCTACTACATATCCTGAGAATTATCTCTATATATCTGCTATGATGTAACTTGGAACAGTAACTGATAGTATTCGATGTTATGCAGAATTGAATTGATAGCTATGTCAGCTTTGCAATCTAATCAAGTTTCATAGTTTCATCATTAATCTTTAACTATCTTCAATAATTCGCATCTATTCAATACCTATTCAATTTGTTTTTATACTTTTGCATGGATATCACAATCTTTTATATATATTCCTTTGCGTTGGAGAGAAGATACTCGCGAAGATCATTATATCTGTTGGAAATAAAAGTTTTTTTAAAAGAGAAGAAATAATACTCTCCTATGAATGAAAATTCATGAAAATGCATTAAGGATAATTCATAATACATTTTGTGTGTAAAAAACGACAAGTTATGAGCGTTTATGGAACATGATCTTATAATATATAAGTAGAAATGAAAAAAAAAATTGACATCTTACCAAGAATAATTATTGTTCTAATTTAATATTAATAAAAAATACAATTATAAGTTAATGGTAATTGAAGAAAATCAATATAATTTATGTAAGTTTTTTTAAATTATAATTACTTTTACAATTTTCAATTATAAAATGAATAAAAATAAATGAAGAAAAAAATAACATAATAATATTCAGGAAACGAATAAAAGACAAAAGAAAGTTACAGTACATAATCCAGAAGAAGGAAGTGTTCCCTCCAATTGCATAGTCTCGCAGACGAAGTTTCCAGTAAACACATTGATCAAAGTGAAATCTCAATAATTATATTCATAAAGGCATAAAAATATCTACAGAAACATTTTAAACTTTTAAATTCAATGGAAATTAAAAAAAGAAAATAATAAGCAGGAATATTAGGAACAGTTAAAAAAAAAAAACGCGGGAAAAAATATTATGCTTTAAAAAGGTTAAAGAAAAATTATGATATACAAATTACATAAATATATGAAAAACATTGATGACAACGAGTATGTACATAATATCCCGATCATAACGGTTGCTCTGACACGTACCTATCAGTGGCGCCCGACAAGTAGGAATAATGATAATGGTAATCCACGGTAAGACGAATAAGTGCGGCAACCTCCTAGACACCCCTCGATGCTTGCCGCGTACTCCCCACTCATGCAACATTCGCCCCACCTCGCTACTCGGCGTTGTGATTTTCCCCTACTACTCAACTACAATATCTTCCCCTGCCACTTCCTCTAGGCAGGTTCGGTCAGCGTGATGCCTCGCCCGCGATTCAACCTGTTTTCCACCCCACCACGTGTCACGATGGACTACTTCCCCTTCGCTTCGTATTTTCATCCCCACCAGGCGATCATACGGTCTCCCCTCCCGGTAAAGCACGGTGCTCGCGCATGCGTGCGCCGGATGCGTGCGTGCGAGCGCTGACCGTGTGCGCTGGTGCGCGAGCGTTCGTGTAATAATAATAAGAAGAGAGCAACTCTATGAGGAACCAACGGCCTCCGACCCGTTCACCCTATGCTAGGTGGAGCCGGTCTGATACTGTACCCTCAGTGGCTCTCAGTTCACGGCGCCGAAGATATCGTTCATTACTATCGTATAAAAGTTTTTGAATTATATATGAAATAAAGATACGATGTAATTATTTATATTTGTATTACAATTTTTTTAAGTAATGATTCTTCGTGTTTTATTGAGATTTTTTATATAAAATTTAGCAGATTTTTAGTTAAAATTTATATTTGTTAATATAATTAAAATTATGATATTTGACGATCAATATTTACAAAATACAAACTTTTAAAGATGCATTTTGAATATTTAAGTATTTTTTATACACATAAACAAAAAAATAAAATTTGTAATTGTATATATTGGTATTGTAGAAAGCTGTATAATTATTACTTCAACATGCATCATTAAATGATTGAAATCTAATAATTTAATTATTAATTTGTAAATATTTATATATAACATAAGCAATTTGTATTTCATGAATTTATTTGTCGCAATTTCGCAACAAAAATGTTAATTGTACTGAGAAATTCACGTGTCATTAAGGTCGTGTTACATTTCTATATCTTGAGTGGTAATTGTATTCGGGTGAATCATTGAATTGCTTGTTTGCCGCTAATTGAGTGTCACTGCGGGTGTGACCGTGAACGAAGAGGCAGGAAAGCAAGACAACGTTGTGGAGCAGTATCTCTATCCTCGCCCTCTACCTCCTCCCTATACCACGTTGTGTTTCCCCGTGCCTACCCCACCCATAGTTCTCACTGTAAGCGAAGTGGACACTAGGTAAAACGATGGTGGGGCGGACGTGATGCAGAGGGGAAGTTCGTGGTACCGTAGACAGTGGGTATGCCGATGAGAAAAGAAAAGGGAAGGGGCAAATGCGGTGAGGTTAGGTTAGTTTAGGTTAGACGTGCCTCCGAAGAAGAGCGGAACTGGTCTGAAGAGAGAGAAAGATAGAGAGAAAGGGAGGTCACTCGAGAGATCGCCGAGAGATGACACCACCGCGCCCACACGATCCAATATAGTGGCAACTGCATTCGTGCAGGTGTAACGTACCGTACACCAGCACCCTCTGCCCTCCATTACCTTTCTCTCAATCTTCGTGAGCACCCACTTTACCCCACCCTTCTCGTTTTCCTTCGTCTTCTCGTTCCTTTTCTATCTCTTTCTGTTTCTATTTCAAGTTATATCCCCTGCTTTGGTTACAAGTCCTTCAATGATCCTGTGTCCTCGTATTTGTTCTTGCAGCACGAACCGGAGTACGAATACAATTGCAATTACGATTACGATTACACGGGATTGACCTGTCGCCACTAGTATGCGCATGCCGGCAACGTCGCAAATCCACGCTTCCCCCCTTCCCTCCTGTACTTGCTGCTACTCCTCCACTCCCGTGGTTCCGTCTAACTCTCTTCCTCGCGTCCAGTCGTTTACTTGATCTGTCTTTGTTACGCGATACATGCGCTAGTCGGCGTCGCTGTGCGCAATACTGTCGCGCCATTGCAAACGCGCGGCAGTGCACTGTCGTCGCCACCTTCGTTTGCGATATGAGGTCACGCATTAATATGAAAAGCAGATTAAAGTTTGTTTTCTTTAAATGCGGTTTAGGAACGCATCGAATATATTCATGTTTGCTTTATAAATCTTTACGAGTAAATTTTATCGTTAGTATTCAAAATAAATTTGGTCGCTTTTCGTATATTGTTATAATAATATTACACCATATTAGAAGATTCAATATCTTTATTTTGGAATTTTTATATCTAATACTGTCTAATATTTGTTATGTAAATATTTGGAAGTAAAGTTTTAATGTGTTTATTTCTCTCTGTAAAATGAAACTCTTCAATGGTGTGAATTATCAGAGTTTACACGTGTAACATTAATTACCACCTACAAGTGTCGAGTGAACAATTGAATCTTGTCAAACAAGGGATGAATTTGACTTAAGATTCTCTTGTTGGAAACATTTGAAAACAAGATTATTAAATTAATCATTTATAACTTAAAATTACTTAAAATTTATTATTCTATTGTTATTACTTATAATATTTTTACTTCATGATTTCTTCTTTGCGAATAATTTTACGATATTTTTTTTTTTTATATAAATTTATTCATCGTGAATTTGTAAAAATTTAAATTAATATAAAAAATTTTTTGGTTCATTGATATTTTCATCAAATAATATTTTATTAATCCGTTGTAAAATACTATATTTTTAGATTTTCTATCCTAATCGCAATCGGTCACTGAATATAATTACAATTTTAGAATCTCATTGCCGGTATCTTCATTTCGTATCTTGTATCGTTCAACTCAACACGGATAGTCTGTGCATAAATAACTTACAAGAAGAAATGCACACATAAAAACTTAACAAGTTTATGGTCAAGGTAATATTTAATAATGGGAATAAAATTTTAGCAATAATTTTTTAAAAATTATCAATTTTATAAGAAGCCAACTGATATTTTTTCATGCAGTTAATATTACAAATTTTCATCGATAAGTGAAGAAATAAATAAAAATAAATGCTCCTTATAATAGGATATGATTAATTTCAGAATCATTATTTATTTAAGCTTTACAAAACAATTTCTGGATTCTGAATACTTGTCATATCTTTTTTTTTTTTTTTTTTAATAATTCTAATCGTGAAAAAAGTGTAAAAAAGTAATTAATGACAAAGGAACAAACAAGAAAATAATGAAGATCGTTCGTGTATATTTTTCCTTTTTATCCCCGTCACATTTAATTGACGTACCTTTAATTGAGAATCGACAGATATAAACAAAAATAAAACCTGGTAGCTGGTCCATCTCTATTTAGTGGTCACGTTGAGATGCCATGTCCAGAGAACGTTCTCATGGTGAATTTCCAATATCAAGCCCAGAGACCGATCCACCGAGCCCGGCATGCACTACAGTTCGATTCACAGGATCCAGCTCGCGGCTTAATATCACTGCTTGTTGGATGTTAGCATAAGCAAACACAGGGGGCTCGAATAGTAACCCCGTGTGGATAAATTGTCGGCCTATCGAAAAGTAGAAGAATGAAAAGGACGAAAGCTGCTCGAGCAATGACTGCCTTTAACAAAAGGACCCCTTTTCAATAGCTTTTTATCTTGCAATAAGTACTTTCAAAAGAATAAATTTTCTGAATTTTACTTGTCTTTTATTTCCCTTCTTTGTTTTCATCGCTACATACTATAATTTTTGATTCGGTATGATCGATATGATTCAATTCAACAAAAAATTAACTTTTAACTTAGTATGTTTTATTCAAGCTCAAATATTAAAAAAAAAGATTTTAAACGAAGCTTAAATTTTTTTCGTATCGTAATAAAATAATATATAGTATACTAGTAATATTCTTGTATAAATTTATCGATCAAATTCTAAGAGAATTTTTGCAGATTTCATTAAAACGTTTATGAATTAAGGCTCGTCGAATAAATGTACATTTCAATTCCATGCAAATAACATTGTATCGTATATTAATCTCTCAACAACCAGTTAACGTTCTACTTTATCAAAAATACTCAAACAATATTCATTCATCTAGCTTATATTTTACACTCAGATTTCGTCCTCCAGAAGCGAAGTTAGATTAGACTCATTATTATTTCCTCCGTCAGATCGAAACAATCCGCCAATTATCCTCGACAATTATCCCATCGCGCTTATACATCTCATCGTCATAAGATGATCGACGAATCGGCTGTTTCCCTTTTCAACCTTTGCACATGTGTAATTTCGATCATTGGAGAACATGTACCGAGGAAACGGTCAACAGGGACGAAGCTGCGGGTGTATTGTGCCGGGTGAAATTAAACCGGATTTCACGGGGGATTAAATGGTATTTCACGAGGCACGGGGATACGCGCGGTCGAGGACCACCACCCCTCTCCTCCTCCCTCCACTCTCTCCCCTCCCTTTTCCTGTTTTGAATTTGGGCGTGAATGTGACAGTTGGTTTATACGATTTTCGGATTGATGGGCTCGCCGCGTGGAATGCCAGGAAATGACGAAAATAATTATTATCCGCGGAGCTACTCGGCCTCCGCCCGTTTACGGAACGATCTCGCCGTTGTTGTGGCGCGTATAGCAGGTTTTATGTGTACGTGTATACGATGGCCATCCCGTCGTCCATCCTTTCGATCGTGGATATTAACTGGACGCGCGGAATCATTGCCATCCGTGGTCACCGAATTGGCAAAACCCGAATTCACTTGTTTCGCCGATAAAAATTCGGAGAACATCGTCATCCACCCCGACCACCGCGTGATATCGAGCGTGTTGCGCCGCGTGTCACTGACTCGGTTCACAACAATTTCGCGTTCCCCATCGCTGCCTACCTTCTTGTCTACTTCCCACCCTGTTTTTTTCTTCTTTCTTTCTTTTTCGTTTTTTCCTTTCTCCATTTCTTCTCCTTTCGATTCTGTTCTTCGACGTAAGAAGGCGTTGTTGTCGAAGATCAATGTAGTTCAAGAGGAATATAAGAAATTGTTGAGAAATTGTTTTTAGGTATCGATAACTGCGCGGTATTATTTATAGATTCTCGTGAGTTGGAATCAAATGATTTCTTTTTTTTTTTTTTTTTTTTCGAAGCAAAAATTACACTACTTGTGCAGGTACTTTTACGAAATGGATGGATACTATGGTATGGCAGGTTGTATAAGTGTTTTGAGATTTTCGAGATGAGTACGTGAAAACATTTACGAGCATTATAAAATCATCGAGGTATTGATTGTCGTAAGCGTGATGATACCTTTATAAAGCATATACCACGGTAATTCGTTGATACCTGTTACCTGTACTTTAAGAGGGGGTTCAAATGGTTGTTGATTGCACGTTGTTGTTTTAAGGGGTGGATTTAAAGAAGGAAGTGGAAAGAGAGGATTTTCTTAAAAATATATTTTTTTAATTATAACATGTTAGGGAAAATGTTAGTTATTTGCGGTTGTATTTGTTGTTTCGAGTGAAAGAGGAGTCGTGTGGCGCAGTATAATGGAAGATAATTGATCTTGGAGTGCGTAACACTTTATAACGGTAATAAAGAAAGGGGAATCGTATGATTGGCAATATCGAATTAAGTCAGATCTTGGTACGAGGTGGTTTTTATATAATTTTTTCTCGTTAGTTTTAAAGTAAAAAACAGTCGGCGTTTATACAGCTATTCTATTATCTTTCGATGTATTAATGCGTGACTAAGAAACGAACTGTGCAATACTTTAACTTTTACTAATGCAATTTTTCTAGTATTTATATAGTGTAAAGATAGTGTGTATACGTGACGTCAGGAATATTTTTCGAAACAAATCATAGTTCTTCAAGAATGCCTGATTATGAATCCTATTATATACCAGTAAATCGTCGACTTCCATTGGAGAATAATACAATTGCAGATATTTTATTTTGTAACTTAGAAAATAAAATCTTTCGACACTCACTGATTGAATAACCCGCTATATTATTATATTTAAACATAAATCAAATATTTTCTATCTAATGATTTCAATACTCTTCGTGTCATACGTATGAATTATAATGCTATTTAATATTAACGCAAACATGCCTTTTACTATTATTTCTTAATTTTAAATATTTTTTAAATTGAATATTAATTATAAATTATCGAGATATTCTAAAGATTCTGGAACATTTATCTTTTGATTTCGTAATCATACTCATCATACAAATCTTTTTAAATTACGGTTATATATGTAGATATATATAATCTATATATTTAATCTAACCACTAACGCTTATCTCGTAGGAAGAAAAAGATCGAGGATTAAAAGTTATTTTTATAAAATTAAAAATTAATCCATATATTCATTATTAAATAAATAAACGAACATAATTGAAACTTAACTTCACTACCGTAATAATTTTATTATAATAATTGACGATATGATCGTTGACTCTTCCTAAACTAGTTCCAATCACTCGGAATCACTCTTCAACTCAATTTTCCCCAACAATCCGATAAAACGAAACCAGAAACAAAGAGAAAGAAGAAAAAAGAAATTGTTGTCAAGAGCAGAGGATATTTTTCTATCTAACGAATTTTCCACGCTGGAAACAAAGGCGGTCCCCATAACACCGTACAATACGTGGATATATGCGCGCTGAGATGCGCGCACAGGTTCCAGCAACAATATCGCGGTCGGCGTAGAGCGTGCATCGCCGTAAGCAATGCATCAGCTTCGGCTGACCAATCCCAATAATTTACGATTATCGATCCAACCGTGGTGCTCAAATTTGCTAATTACGCAATAATTATACGGCCTACATTAGATCCCCGACTACTACAGCGCCACTCGCGAGGCCACTATAACTCGTGCGGCGAATTAATTGTCCCTGTTTAAACCGTGTGGATGCGCACTGTTTGGGCCAATAGAAGCTCGGGCAGCTCGTGTCAATAGTTCATAGTCATGTTAGGTCGCGTTCGTATTGACCGTATGGCTGTGTCACGTGTACGATGATCACGGCCATCTGATTGGCCAATAGTTTCGCGGCTGCTTGAGAGCTTTGCGAGCGGGAAACGCGCTCGTTCGTTCGTTTGGTTGGATAAATACGTGTGCGCGAGTGTTGGTGTGGACGAACGGAGAATGAGAGGCCGCCTGGTCGCGTTTGGTCGTTCTCGATGCGCAACGACGTTGACGGACTATAGAGTGAACGCCGAATCTCCGCTGTAAGATACATTATACGTTCGCCATTAATAATTACGGCGGTAACCGTTGAAGAGAGGAGTGACAATATCGTGGATGCTGGTATACGATAAGGTTTATGATCGGCACTGGATCGAGAATGGACTATTAGTAAATTCATTGATGAATTCTTAGTAGCGTTTAGGATGCAATATAGTCCATAGGATAATAAATGGTTTGATATAATATGAAAATTTGATAAAATAATTTTCTTTATATAATTTCTTTCAATTTGCAGCAAAATGTGGATGGATGGAGAACAATAGATACTTGTTAGATAATAGAAATATAAATTTTTTTTAATAATTTTAAAAAAATTTGTACTTATACTTTAAAGAATTATACGATATAAAAAAAATATAAGATATCGATAACTTGAAGTGTTCAAGTACATGATAAGACAATTACGATGATATACCTAAAAATAACTTATTAAATAGATAGCAATCGGGAAATAATTTTGCCATTGGCAACGCGCAAATCCCTCTCAACGATTCGTTCTCTCAGATATAACATTGTTTTCCTTTCGATTGTTGATAATCTTGACGGTTGGCAGGTGGCACATCTTTATCAGCTGCTTGAAACAGACACTATTGCAGCGAAGTCTGCTCGTGTCTTCATTTAGAACGATAAAGAACAAGCACCAGTTATAATTAGTATGTATGCGTATTAACCATTTCGCTACTCTTAATGAGACTTTTTAATTATACGAATAACAAATGCAAATAAAATTATTCAAAGTAAGAACGAAATACAAATATTTTTAAATATTCAGCATTTTCCAAATTTATTTAAAAACTCAATTTTATTACATTTACGTATAATATACGTGTAACGTATGTATGTTCTATTTTATTAAATAAAATAAACTCTATAAAATTTTGATTTATTCTTTTTTTGAATGTAAAACGGTACGCGATTTTTCAGTATAGAGGCCTGTTTCTAATGCATACATTCCTTTTTGTTTCAGGTAAGTCTAAACGTAACGGTACACCATTGCTACAGCCTATCTCGGTAACCGATTATAGTGAGTACATACACTTCATATGGTGAACTTGTGCAATACACGTTGGAACAGTAGCTTCCTGAATGTTAGGACCATAGCCAGATGTAAATGGACTCGATGAATTTTTTAAAGCTTAGGAGTACATACATCTGAATATTTTACTTTTATTTCTAATAGAATATACTAGTATTAGCATTTATTATTTAATATTAGTATATAGTAAAATTTAAACATAGGATGTATGTATTATTAGTGTAATAATGGTACAAATGTGCACTATATGTATTTATTTTCATCATTGCATTTACAAGCTCTCATATACATCTGTAGTCTATTTATTACACCCTCGTGTACCAGAGACAGCGGATTAGTAGGACAAATTTATAGCTTGTTATCAACCACTAATAAATGTAGAATAGCATCATGCCTTTAAGTATCATTACCA